TAAGGACATAGTGTCAAACACTAGCCTTGATCTACATAAAATTCAATAACAGTTCATGTTCTACAACCGGGTCAGTATTTATATTGGTTTGACAAACAGTTACGTGTAACTGTTTTTTAAGACTATTGTAACTGTTTCGTTAATTCTATTGTAACTGTTTCTATATTTTGTGTAATTATTTCGCACTTGACTGTTACTGTTTTATTTTAAGTTACACTATATCAAAAATTTTAATAAATGATTTTACTATATTTAGAATATCACAAATTACAATTAAAAGGCATAATGAGTAATAAAAATAGTTTCAATACACAAGGAATAAGACTTTTTATATTTAACCTTCCTGGTGAGTCTTGTCTTGCGCACTGGGCTAGCTTTCTTTCCAACTACTATAATTATCTCGTTATAGCAATATCTTTTCCATTTGAATATTCAAGTACCAAAACTTTATTGCAGCTGAAGTTCAAAATTATGGAGTTTGCAAGAGTTGAATATGCTGAACTGCAAGGCATGTCACGATTTACCTCTTTCACACATATCTGAAACAGATTGCTGCATGCTAGTTTGATTTTCCAGGCATGGGAACCCATCAATTTTGTCAAGCTGCTTCTTGGGAACATATCGAAGATTAAACTCGTATAGCTAATTCTGAACTTCGCAAGGAGTACTGAGTTTATAGAGTCCAAGAAATATGCAGCAATTTTAGATACGATCGATTTGTGTTCTTCACTATGATAATGTTCAAGAAATATCAATCAAACCCGAGTTTATCCTGAATTCAATTTGTACTAATGAAAGAAATGTATGACTTAATTAATCCGTATATTATTGGATTTGGATACTGTTGCATAGTGGCTTTAATTCCTAATTATAAAGTCATTTGATTCTTATTTATTCATGGAGAAGAAGTCTCTTGTTTTGGTAACTATAAATAGACGGTAATTTACTTAATTTGTGGTGCGGATTCTGGTATGGTATTTTGGCCTCCAATTTTGGATCCGTCTCTTGCTAGAATTGTGTGTTTTGCCCTTGCCCGTGCCCGTGCCCGTGGAAGTATACTTTCGAGCTGAACCATGTAAATTTATGTAATTTGTGTTTTTCTATTTGTAGTATTTTATATTTGAGCATGGATTTAGATACTGATTACCATGTCAAGTATTTGGTTCACTAATCATCAACCAAACTGTTTTTGTTAACTACTTAGACGTAAAGTTCTTGATTGGATGATTTTAAAAAACTCAAAACATTTTGGTTGTAAATTATCATAACTAGAAAATGGAAGGATCAATGTGAGATTAAGTCTATAATTCAGGGTCACCTGGACATTTTAATCAAAAAAAAAAATAAACGTATAGGTGAATGGATGGAGTTGTGAAACCCATCAATTAAATAAATTGACATGAACTCGGCTAAATAAAATGAAAGTTTGCTAAACGCAACACGAATCTAACATAGAAATGTAGTGTGAGATGATCTCTTCACCCCTAATATATTTGTGACAAAATCTTTTTTGGTTGGATCCGACTATGATAGCACTTTGTATCCAATAAAAAACATGACAACAAATAGAATTATTTTATTTTATTTTTATTTTTATTTTTATAATCAATAACTACAAATACATTTAAACTAAAATCTAGGATAAATTATAATTCATACCCTTAAAGTATGCAACTAATTCCTAGTTGGTCCTTCAAGTTCCAATTGCAACAATTAAAATCTTAGAGTTTTAATTGAATTTTAATTTAGTCCTTACATCAAAATGCACGTATTTATTATAATGAATGACCTTCTGTGACAAAGCACATTACTTGGATGAAGAATTATATTTGTTTGATGAAAAATCTTTTAGTATATACTAGAAAACCTTACTTATTCATCTAATTTTGAGAAAAAGAAGATAACAAATTCCTAAAAAAAAGAAAAAGATATAGAGTGAGCAATTGAGAGACATTGTAACACAAAGAGAGAAATATCGATGCATTGAACGATACTTTTTTTGAACAAATAAACCCTCATGAGCAATTTTTTTTTTCTTTTTATCAGAACAAATTAATATCTCTGGATGAATGACTGAATTGAAACTTAATTAAAATTTTAAGGATGAAATTCTTTCATTTAAACTTTTAGGGATCATATAAAGACTAGGGTTAATTGGATTGAAGGTCCTCAAAGTATAAAATTTGTCTTATTTTGATCCCTAATATTTTAATTGTATCATTTTGATTCTTAAAGTATTGAATATTTTTATATATGGTCCCTCAAGTAGGCAGCGTCCAAATTGTTAACATTTTTTTTATCATAAATTTGTCATGTGATACTTAAATATGAACAAAAAAATAATTTAGATAATTTTTGACCAAATTTCTACTTAAATTTTGGTTAAATAGTTACTTAAATTACATAATTTTGATCATGAACTTTCTAAATTTTGGTCAAAAGTTATTCATATTACACATTTTTTTGTCATGAACTACCCAAATTTTGTTTTAAGTGTTATCAAAATTATTTTTTGTTCATATTTAGTTATTACGTGTTAAATTTATGATAAAAAATCGTTAGTAATTTATACGTTATTTTGTTGAGGAACCATATAAAAACATATTCAATATTTTAAGGACTAAAATGATGCAATTGAAATATTAGAGAACAACACGAGATAATCTCATATTTTGAGGACCTCCAATACAATTAATCCTAAAAACTATGTATATATTTTAAAGATATAAAATACAAATTACCCTAAAATCTATGGCATTTTTGTACGAATTAGGTCAAAGATCTTTATTATAGTGGTCAGTTGGGCCTTTTCCATTAGACTCAGTTTGAGGCCTAATTGATCCAGCCTATTCATAACCAATAGTTGTTGACGACGTCACACAAGCTAACGGTCCTCACTTTTCTCTCTCCTCCCGTCCTCCTCGTCTTCTAACCTTAACGCTAATTTTGGTTAGATTTTCAATTTACATTTCTTCTTCCAGGAAATTCATGTAAACTATTGAGAGACCAAACTCTTGCGCATTGTGCCAGCAAGCAAACTTGTATGCGTACAAATATACAAGTGTGCATATGTTTGAATATTTTCTTCTTGTGATATTTGAAAATTTGATTGGACAGACGATGAAGTTGCAAAGACACTGTCACTGTTATTGCTCGACCCCTAGTAAGGCTGAAGTTGTGGAGGAGAATATCTTCAGCAAATACCCCGAGGAAGAACAGGTCAAGAGTTAATCCTTTTCATTCTCTAAAATATTTTGCATGATGGGTAATTGATAATTTATTTCATCATTTGATGTTGATTCTGATTGAATCTTTAGTTTTATTCTTATTATATAATACTGAATTAGGGCTAATTATTATCCTCACAGGATTCGTGGATTTTGCTAGATACAAAAAATTAGATTACATTCTTGAAAATATTTGATAATGATAGGATTTTGGCATAGACTGTCCATCTAAAACTCAGAGCGTCCAATGAATTCAATGGTTACATGACAGCTCAAGTCACCCCTCCACAGCTCATCTGTTCCGGAATAGGAATAGACCATAATCCAAAAGAAGGGGACCATCTTGCTCGGCACAATCCTATTCAGTCATGACATGCTCAGCGGTAGGCAGCTAAGGAGCAAGGAGTTCGGTATTCATCGATCCCGAACACCTTCCATCACACCACGTGTCCAAGGGACAAGGGAACAACTTCTAAAGTACTAACGTACGCGTACTTAATGGTAAAGAGAATATTTGTGCACATGTCATTGAAGGACCGTGGATACGATTTATATCAAGGTAACGATCATCACTACAAGACAAAATGGAGGGGACCACAGAATCATCTGAAGGAAGAAGAAGATCGCAAAAAACCTTAGATAACTACTTGTATATATAATACCCTCACACTGTAAAAGAAAGACATTAGAAAAACCTATACTCACGAGACACCGTTCACACTAGCTCTAAGCTAATAAACTTGATGTAATCTTCTTCTTCTTCAAGCAATAGAAATCCTACAGAGCAAGAGCCTCCACTACAATGGACGTAGTCCTGGTCTTTCGGCTAGGGTGAACCACTTACATATTGTCTTTAATCCAACTTCATCATCCATTTTCCCTATTAACATTGAGATTTACTCTACCCCCATCTTACTAAATATTGTTATGGACTTGAGCTGACCATTTTCGAGCACTGTCAATAGTAAGACAATAGTGAAATTCTTGTGTTCTATTTTGGAGTGCAATATTTAGGTTGGATTGTAAATCCTGATGTTATTTCTATTCGGTTTAAATTTGTTGGACCTTTTGAGATTGCCTATCCACTAGTTGCTTGATTTCTTGAAACATTTTGAATTGGTTACTGGTTGTACCTGTTAAGTCTTCAACAATAATCACTTTTCATTGAGAGTTTTTGATTGGAAGACATATAGTATGGAGAGGTTGATTTGAAGAATACAAGAATCTTATTGGAAGTGTAAGGTTATTTGCTCTTTGTTGGTGAGGTCACTAAAAATATATGACTAGTTAATTCCACAATAACTAAATATTCTACTACTGATTGAGCGAATAAGATAAAGCAAGTTGGGATTCTAGCTTAAATTGACACTGATTAGAATCTTTAGCAAAACAAATATTTGACAGATTCTTGATGTAGTGCTCCACATAAAAGATGGTGAGCTGTCCACTAGTAGTGAAAGCATATATTTGCTTTACGTGATACAATGTAGATGCTGATTTTGCTGGATTCATGGTCCATTGTCTTCAACATGGTCCATACAAGGTCAGGTCTGTGCACAGTAATTTGGCTTCTCTACAGGGACGGGAAACCCGATAACAATGATGGGAAACTATTTTGAACTAGGTTATTACACAAAATGAACGAATAGACTGTCAAAATATGGCAAGTCTGATCTTTTTGGGTGGCTACATAGCATTGGAAGGAATTACCAGGCCGCAATCACAATTACATAATGGGCAAAAAAGCAATGCCAAAACTTTAACTAGTTGATACTTGGGAATCTGCAAATAACAATCTTGGAAATACGAGGCTTATCTTAATTACAATGATATATGCCAATCAGATGACAGTCAAATCCAATTAACAAAACATTCCACATCATCAGTTAGATATCAATGCTAAATATATGGATTTGAATGAAGGAAAATGATGTACCTTTTGTGCTGATGGCTTTGTCAAATTCTAAACACCCAAAAATTATATGACAAACTTGAAATATTGTCTTCACACAACTCACTTCTTTAGAGGCTGCATCTGATCCTTTGTTTCCTGTTGAAAGTTGAGCCTCTTGAAGTAAAGGAATTGAGTACCCTTTATTTACAACGCTGTTTACCAGAATTCAGTGGGGAGTCTCTGATACTCCTGGATTGATTGTAGCTAAGTTGGTGCATTCCATCTGATTTCTTCTTGCGCTTCGCTTGTTGGGATGAACGAGCGTGGTAAGATGTTATGGCAAGGTCATTGAGATCTTGCAATGGAGTGAGAACCTTCACAATTTCATCCATTGAAGGACGGGATTTGGGGTCCCTGCTAAGGCAGTTGTAAGCTAGCTGAGAGACTTTTTGCACTCCTTTAAGGGAGTAATTCAGTTCCAAACGGGGATCAACTAGTTGATAAACCTTCCGCTTGTCAGCTAAGTATGGCCGAGCCCATACTACAAGATTTTGTTCTCCACTTGGGCGTTTTTTGTCCATTGACCTCCTACCAGTTAAGATCTCTAAGAGCACAACGCCAAAGCTATAAACATCACTCTTTGAACTCAAGTGTCCTGAGGGAAGTAGAAGCCACATTATAGCGATTGTTACATCTCAAAACTTCAATAATACAGGAAACACTAGGGAAAAACTTGGCATTCAAGCCCAAGACCTGTGAAGGTGGTTCTTATTAGATTGCAGAGTTTCTGAAGTATAGGGATCCACCCAAAGACAGTAGATTTTCTATTGCAAAATAAACTTGGTTTGCCAGTATTGTTTCATATTATGGGATCAAAACCAAATGCCGACTCTAACACACAATTGAAACTTCACACGTTTATCGTTTTACTATGCAATCTTCAATCTTGCTTCAATATCAAAACTATCTCCTCAAGAAAAATTCAGAAGTACCCAGAGAATGTTTCATTGGGGCCAAAAGTACCTGTCATAACATATTCTGGAGCGGCATAACCATATGTTCCAACAACCCTGGTAGAAACATGTGTATTGTCTCCTCGGGGCCCAGCTTTTGCCAGACCAAAGTCTGAAAGTTTTGCATTATATTCCTGAAAAAGGAGATTCATTAGTTATAATCTGCATTCCGCAAAAGATTGAACATTGTAGTTCTCTCAATATATCTAACCACGTACTGAATCAAGCAAAATATTTGACGTCTTGAAATCTCGGTAAATGACAGGTTCAGAGCCTCCATGGAGAAAGGCCAAGCCTCTAGCTGCACCAAGAGCAATTTTAATCCTGTTGCACCATGGAAGGGGTATCGTTCCTTCAAGAAATACCAATGAAATCAGTATTTATTTGATGAACAAATGAATTGCACTTAAGGATGATAGCTTTAGTGATGCAAGAAGAAATTTACAGTTCCTTGTTACAAGGCAAACTAACAATAGAGACACTAAGCATTGAGCGTATTACTAATGAATCTTATAACCGTGGACTGTTATTTGGCACATGCTCAGGTGTCTGCGTATCCTTTTACAAAACTAGAAAAAATGTTTCTTGGTATTAGATTAGCTTAAGTGACAGTTTTAATTTATATTGCTTCCACGTGAATTTAGGGCTTTGTTCAATTAATCCAATGGAGTATTTTTGTCAATACTAGTTTCTGTATGTCATATGTGGTGTCATCAACCCAACTTCCCAATAGTTTAAAATTCACACCCAATAAGAAAAATGTATACCATAATTAGTGCAGCTTATCTGCATAAAACCTTCGCCCAAGTATTGTGAGACTACTCATATTTGGTGCATGTATCTGCTATTAAATATGTTGTTTGGGGCAAACCTAGAAATATTTTTAACATAGTTGTAATGTTGGATACTTACCTGTTTATAGTAAGAGGTTACACGGCTCTCTGTGGCAGGAGTCTACATGAAAACTTGAACTGTATACACTTCTACTCTATCGATAACAAATGTACAACCAATTTACTTGGATTGATTATGACAGTGAAAAAGTATTTCAGATTACCTATTTGGTAGGGATGTTCATAGTCTATATCAATTATACGAATTCAAGAGGGAAGATGGTGGAAAACAGAGCAAGATAATGTCTGCACTCACTTCTGAAAAGATGGTTTTCAAGGCTTCCACGGGTCATAAATTCATAAACGAGCAGCCTTTGATCATCCTCAATGCAATATCCAATTAGCTTAACAAGATTAGGATGATGAAGCTGTCCAAGGAAGTCTACCTCTGCCTGCATTTAGCCATATGTCATTTAGTTACATGTGCCATCTTATGATCTCATTCTCTTCTTCTACTCGACATTAATCTACTAACCACGAGCAGATAATCTACTAACCACCCATTCTCTATGGCCTTGAAGACCGTCTGGCTTCAAACTCTTGACTGCAACGGTAGTACCTGACCCCGGTTTAGCTGGTGCTGTGCCATTCTCCTCTATCCAACCTTTGAAGACATACCCAAATCCACCCTCCCCAAGAATGCTATCTGGTCTGAAATTTCCGGTTGCTGCTTTAAGCTCCTGAAAGGAAAACTGAAGCAGCTGGCGTGGTGCATTACTATCTGATGGCGGTGGAACAGGATTGGGATTATCAGAAGAATCTTGAGGTTCATCTGGAGCACACATCTCCCTGTTGCTGGCATTGAGGTATCGTGTCTCAGTAACTGCAATAAGAGAATCATGCCCGGTAATATCTTCCTTTCGATGTACAAACTTGATAAAACATTTCGACAAAAATTTTGCAGAAATGTAGAATTTCATTGAAGGTGCCAAAAGGCATTAGATATTTATTGACAAAGGGAGGAAGAGTAAACAGAAGGAAAGACGTAGTAACTTAATTCAACTTGGGTTAAAGACATTGAAAATAATGAGAAGTTGCATAGAAATCTTTAACTAATATTTTTCTTTTCTGTTTTGTAGAAGATCTATAGAGTGTGAACAGAAGAATAATGCATCTATCCTGAAAAAGTTGCAGGTCTTTTTCGGCTAGAGCTTGTGTGAGTTCTCTTTGTCCTTGTTACTATCAAACTCAAAAACAGAATAGTATGCTAGTGTAGCTTTGCGCTGTTCAATTTGAAGGTCTCTAGCAAAATGGTTAATAGAGTGCTGATAGACATCAACTTAAATTTGAAAAAGCTTTTTTGAGAGAGAGAGAACACATAGGAAAATTGCAAATAAAACTCTTATTGGTAAAGTGGGACAAGAGTGAAAACAAACACCCAGAAAATTCTCAGAAGAATAAAAAAGAGGTGACTTATAAATAGGTAATTGGAGAGAGAGAGAGAGAATACAAACACTGAGCAGGAAGCAGAAGATTTAAATTAATAGTTGGGACTCGAAATTTACAGAAGAAACTAACAAAATTAACAGAAAAGAGGGTACAAAGATTATAACTCGTACACAACATACCTGCATCATGGACAAGACTAGTTCGAGGGATGGTAGTAACAGAGTTTTTGGAATCAGAGGATTTACAGGCACCTTTAACACTGCGCTTCAGAACTGCCCAGCACCCACACTTCTTCTCCATATCCTCTCACTGCCTCAGTCTCTCATGGTCTGTCACTACAATTGCTTGAAAATATAGGTAGGGGTGAGAACAAGAAGAGATTCACCATGGTTCTTTGAAGAGAGTAAAAAAGAGAACAGAGGCCAAAAGCCTGTGAAGAGAGAGAGAGAGAGAGAGAGAGAGGAGGGAATTGTTTGTTGTTGCTGTGGGAGATTACAGGCATCATCATCACCATCATCGCAGTGTGAACAAAAAGAACTTTTTTTCTCCACCTTTTCTGTGGGGAATGCCAACTCTCTCTCTCTCTCTCTCTCTCACACACACACACACACTCACACACACATATTTTCAGGTTAGTTAGGATGGAATTACTAAAAAGGGCACTGACAGGAAACTTCTGGTGGAGCATCTGTTGAAGTTTTTATTTTTGAAAGTTTTAAGTCCATCTTTATTTATTACTGTTCTTTTCATCAACAATCTTGTATATTTTCCTTTATTTTCTGGCAATTAAAGAAAAAATACATGGCTTAGTAATTGCTTAAGATTTTTCCATTCTGATTCCTCCTCTTTTTCCCCTCCAATAGCTTCCTTGTCGCATGTTCTTCAAATTTATAGTCTTTTCACTAAAAGACAAGTCCAAAGTGTTTACTTTCATGTACTTAATTTCTGAATCCGTCCCAACTTGGGTTGTACATGCATTCGTGGGAGGGGTGTGACTGTGAGGTTTTGGTTTGCTGTCCATCAATTGAGTTTAGCCACTTGGCACCCAAGCTGAAAGATCTGTCTATGCCAGTGGTTTGTTAATTTGGGTGGTTCGAACCCCCAAATCCTCCTTTTTGTGGGTTGTTTAAGTTCCATCAAACAAATAGTTGTTAGTATTATTGTTTGGGTCAAAACCAATCGAAAGACAGTCAAAGGCATATTTGAGTGCAATCCCATCACACACTCTCTCTCTCACCTCACATTAATATTTGTATTTATGTATGTATATATTTCTCTATGGATGGAAAATGGGAGCTCTATCATAGGCTTGAAAGGGATTCTTAAAAGGGGAGAGAAAGAAGGAGTGAGGGTCAAGAGGAGGGCTTGGTAAGAGGTCATTTCATCAACTACCATAAACAAAAATATATTCCATGATTATTCTATATGAAGAAAAGCAATGTGAGATCCCATTCTTTTCTCTACGGTGTGCCTTTTGCAACTTGGCTGTCCTGTTGGAAAGGAGTGATACCATTTGCCCCCACTAAGTATGTGGGTCCTACTACAAGGTCCCACCACAAGCTCACTCACATACACTCTGTGTGTGTGCGAGAGAGAGAGAGAGAGAGAGAGAGAGAGCACTTCCTAGTGTAGCCCACTTCAGGTCATCATGTGGCAAACAAGATATCCTATTTTGATGGTATAAAGCTACAAAACCATATGATTGGGGCATGAGAAAGCTCCATCTACCATCTATATAGATTTGAGATATAATGCAGTGTGTTACTCCTCTAATGCCCATGGTGTGTGGACTAATCCAATCATGAACAATGATTACCAATTACAACTTAAACATGCCAAACAACTATTCACTGGGTCAAGTTAAGATCAATTCAAAAAAAAAAAAAATGTAAGATTGGTCCCAAAATTTTGAACTTCACTTGGTTATAAATTAATTGAATAAACTCGTAATTTATCCCACAGTACTGAATCGGTGCTGTGGATTTTTCCATGAATTAAGCATGAGTAACGAAAAGTGATTTATTGCATGGAAGACTTCATCCATTGACAAAAACAACACAAGGAACCACTTGTGCAACATGGTTCTATGTTAGGCATCATCATCTTCATGAGATCCCATTGGTCGATAGCAACATATCTCTTCATAATATGTGATTGATGTGGATATGCTACTTGACTTAGTTCCGTCTTAGTTTGAATGGTGCAAACTCAGGCTCAACACAACAAAATTATATTGAATTAACTCAACAAAAATGGGGAGAACAGTGAATTTTCGTTGTCACTGTCCGAATTTTGATGTGGGAATTTGGAATAGGTTTTACTCAATGCCAAAGAAAGTTTGTATAATTTAACCGGCCATCAGTAATAGCACAATTGCTGGGTTTGAGAAACTTGAATTTGAAATGAAATTTGGTTTGTCAAGTTTCTATGGCATTGCATCAAATACTATTCGGGCATTGCATATAAGCCTTTTATTGATCTACAAAATATGGTTGCCAAATTATACACTTGACAATACGAGAATATAAACTCTTATGGGTAACTCAAGTGGTAACAAGAACAAGTTATAAATTTAGATGTTTTGAGTTCAAATCTTGGTAATCTCTTGAGATTAGACCATGAAAGATTTATCTTTCATGAACACCCTTGTCCTGACGTAGATGACTTACTTTTAAATGAAATTACTCGAAATATGTGTAAGTTAGTGCAAACATCTAATTGTTGAACCAAAAAAAAAATTAATAATAAAATTAGAAGGAACAAATTTTGTCGATGGGTCATGGTTAAACTTTACGGTTTTAGGCCTCTGTGTGTGGGGTGGGGTGGGTGTTGGGCCGTTTGTAGAGTCTAGTTTTGTATATTGATCCGGATGATGACCCGATTCGAAATAATGTTTTGCATGATTTTTTAATGAGAAATTTTCTGATGGACAAGTCTCGTGGGGGTTTGGGGGCAACGCTTCCGAAGAAAATTTTTTAGACCTGTTTTGTAGTTCGGTGCATAGGACATATAAAAGACCGCTATTTTGGTGATTAGGATTTTATCAATGTGTATAGCCACTCTCTATAATCCTCTTTTTTAATAGTGAAAACCATGCAGTTTCGTGGACATAAGCAAATTATCGAACCATATAAAATCTTTGTGTCTTATTCTTTCTTGTTTCTTATTGTTTTATGTTCTTGATTTATTTTTCGATTGTGTGTGTTTGTCTGTGAATTTAAAGTATATTAATTCCCAACAGTGGGATGGGGTGGGTGGAGATGAAAAGACCTTATGTACAACTAATTTCATATATATCTCAGTTTTCATTGTGATTGCAAACATAATTAAAACAAACAATATTGATAATTAATAATTACTTAAAAGTTAGACTTGATTATCTCAACCATTGAATAGGTAACAGATTCTAATAAAATTTTGGGACTCACCGTCAGATCAATGATTATAATTATCAAGTCTGATTTTTAAATTTATTTTTTAAATTCATATAGAATTGCTATAATAATTAAGATAGAAGAGCGTAACTTTTCGAAGCCATGTGCTAAGACCATAACTTGCAAGGCAAAGATCTTATCCTACAAATATATGCTTTTGCTAAGCTCTTTCTTTTTCGAACAGAAATTTACGAGCTTTACTATATAGGACGTGAGAGATAGATACCACCACACACACACACACACACAAACACAGAGATTTGAGGGCAAAAATGTAAATAAAAAATTTAAATTTATGTTTGGACTGGATAACGTAAAAGCTTTTTAAAATTTTCCTTTAAAGCATTAAAAAAATTTAACTTGTACTTTTTAAAATAAAAAATTTGTAGAATATATTGACTGTCTAATTTTCACAAATTAATTTACCCAAGGCATAATTCAATAAGAAAAAAGGTACTTTCAAAGTCGGTGCACCAAATTAGACATAATTATAAAAAAATACAAGAAAAAAAATATTTTGAAAAAAAAATACACTATTGAGATACAAAAACGTAAATGTTCATATTGTAAAATTTTATTTCCTAAAATTTGTAACAAGACATTTATCTTAGGCACTGAAATTTAAGATTATTTAATTCAAAATCTCTTCATCTATTCTTCTTAAAATTTACTTTCCTAAAACGGTTTTAGGAATACATCTTAATTAATTAATTAGATAAGCTTAAATTTATTTGAGAAGCATTTCATCTTCGAAAAGCATTTAGGTTTCTTCTTTTTCTCTAAAAACCACTTCATCTTCCTTGGCGATAAGCCCTAAAATTGTTCCCTAAATATTTATAAGGTTTCGTCTTTGAAGGAAAAATCCTATTATTTAACCCATTTGATGTAAAGATCGTCAACATCATATATTTTTTGAAAATTTGTTTATCATTTGAAGATACATACGAACTTCGGCATTTGAAAACCAAAACTAATTGTTGAAAGTTGATCATTGACTTGTGTGAAATACGATATTTCTGCTATGTGTTTCTGCCTTATTAATTCATTGTGTGTGAATATACTATGTGTATCTCCTAACCGCTGACTGTGTTTTCCTCATAGTGTAATAAAAACAGTATAACAATACGCTGTAACAAAGACAGTGTTCAGTGATTTTATACATTTGATAATAAATTCAAAATAGAGATAAACTGTTTAAAAGAAATTATATGAAAATATATATTTAACAAAATATAATGATACAATATTTTGTGTAAATGTCTTGTTACACTGTTATGGTGGTTGCATACTAACAAAATTTGAAATTCAAACAAAATAATATATTATAAAATAAATGGAATATTGAAGTTCTCTCATAAAATTAGGAGATATTTAATGCATAAATATAATTTTAAAACAAAACACTTTCCAAAAAAAAAAAAGGCATAAATCATGACATGAATGTACGGAATATTAAAGTTCTCACAAAAAACTAGGAGATGTTTAATGAATAAATATAATTTAAAAACAAAATCACTTCAAAAAAACAAAATACGCATGGATCAAGGAAAGACAAAAATGTCACAAGAAAATCTAAAAATTTTAAATAATGTACTTGGACTCAAATAAGTATCAAAATTAAGAATTTTTTTACTCTATATATTTTTTTATAATTAACTCTAATTTAGTGTACCCCTCCAATTTCTCCTACAAAAATCTCTGTTTGAATAGCCTGAATTGGCCGGCCCAACTTGCCCTCCAATCCCACACCACACCCACAGAGAAAGGGGCAATGTGCATGGACCAATTGATATGCAAAAGTATTTCTAGCCCAACTGAGACTACAAGGGACAATATTTTTTGGGGGCTTTGGGAGGCCGGTCTCATATTGTAGACTTATTAGGGTTTAAGTATACCCAGAAAATTTATTTAGGGATAAGTCCATTTTGATATTTGTTGTCCAAAATACCCTCAATAGTTATATTTAATCAAAAACTTATTTGAAAAAACTAACAATTCCTAAATTGAGAATTGTATTAATATTCATAACTCATATCTTGAAAATTGTGCTAGCATTAAAATTATGTTTATATATATATATATATATTAAATAGT